TGAATTATATTTACTATCAATTTTAATAGTTTACCTTCGCTAATAATTCCTCTATTATGAATTAATATACCATCGATTGTGTAGAATTTGCCCACTATAAAAATCACAAACGAAGATCAAAACAATGAATAAATAATAATATACACTTATGTCATTTGCTTGTAAAATCATAATGATTTGTATTTCTTTTTCTTTTTTCATAGCCTGTTATATGTTACCTCGATTGCAGTACGAATTCCGATCCACTCTATATATGTATATAAAATCGTGTTTCTACTTTAATACCAGTCAGTGTTAATCTTTTTCCAAGGCACCTGTATGCCTCGAGCAATTGCAAAAATAGGAAATCTAAAACTAGTCATTTAGTCTAGTAGTTCTGGTATCGTTAAATTTCCTACATAAATTTCAACTGTTTGTTAACATAAAGAACCTTACCCCGTTAAAATTTGATTTAAGTTGTAAACTTTGCTCGATTTCGATTAAAGTGATATAGTAGATCTAAGAATTCGCATTGATATAAAATAACGTTGCTGTTTTCATCACCTGGTTCAAGACTTAAAGCGCAAGTAAAATACAGCATAGTCGAGGAAAAGTTGACCAATAATACCGGATAAGGCACACAGCTCTGGTCACTTGCGTGCACGATTTATGAGAGCGAAAGGCTAGAATTTCTCCTGATGTGTCTTTTTTTCGACTCACTGTTAACTACAGCGGATACCAGACAACGAACTAGAAGAAATTCGAGAAACAAATGGAAAACAGACGTAATATGTACGAATGAAGTATAAATTCTCAGTTTTTCCTTGCTGCAAATTTTATACACGAGTAATAAGAATGATAACACAGATAGCCTTCGTATAGTTAGAAATAATTAGACAGTGGTAAGAGACATATTTTAACTATGTTTTGCAGAATTCTGATTGTTATTAAATTAAATAATTATTTATTTATTATCTTTATTTTTAATCTTGTTCTGGTTATTAATTATTATATTTATTATCTTCTACTTTATTTTTCTTTTTTTTCAAATTATTGTTTGTTAATCTATGACATTATTTAATAATAGTATAATTTAATTACTGATTATTCATTAAATTATACCAATTCATTCATTTCATTTTCTATTTTGTTTTTCACATTTTTTAAAATTATTATTTATGAATCTATCATATTATTTAATAATAGTATTATTTAATTACTGATTATTCATTAAATTATACCAATTAATTTATTTTATTTTCCACTTTGTTTTTCACTCATTTTTAATTATTATTTATTAATTCATCGTATAATTTAATAATAGTGTAATTTAATTACTAATTATTAATTAAATTATACCGATTAATTTATTTTTTCCTCTGAAATAAAAGTACTACAAAAGTATGAAACAGCTGGAAATTTTCTAATTTGTATCTGCTATCATATATCATTATAAGACATATAATAATTATATGATATGTATTCAAAAACTGGTGGTTCTGTCCAATTTTATTTGTCATAATGCTAAAGCTGAAACAATATTCTTAAAACATTCTTTTTGCACTCAAAAAGAACACAGACTCACATAAAATTGCAAAAATTATCAATGTGAGCGATTTAATAGCTCACTATAAAAAGCGTGCGAAGATCAAGACACTTTTTTGATATCACATGTAATTTCTAAACACGAATCATTAATTTTCTTCATTCGTCAAATACCTATGTGACACGTGCTTCTAAATACTAACTCTCTGATGATAGGTACTAAAGAAAAGTGTAACTCAAAATGTGACAAGAAAATTCCTGGAATAAGAAAATATCAAAAATGGTAATAGAAATAATACAATCATTTTCCTAATATACAGAGTGTTCCAGCAACGGTAGTATAACCAGGAAGAGGGTGATTCTGTGTGAAAAAATAGATCGGAAATAAAGAATAAAATTTTTTGACACGAAGCTTCGTTTTCGAGAAAATCAACTTCGAATATTCATCGAGTACATGTGCACTTAGCTACGTCTTAAATATACGGACCATCGATATATCAGCAATGGTAGCAGAACCGCGAAGTAGGTGATTCTACATGAAAAAACAAATCGAAAGTAAAGAATAAAATTTTTTCATTCGAAGTTTAATTATCCAGAAAATCACCTTTGAATATCCATTGATGGTCCATCTGTCTTAAGTGCACACGCACTCGGTGGATATTCAAAATAGATTTTCTCGAAAACGAAGCTTCGAATCAAAAAATTTTATTCTTTCTTTTCGATTTGCTTCTTCATGTAGAATCACCCCCTCTTCGATTGTACCACCGATACTGATGCATCGATTGTCTATTCGTATAAACCATAGCTAAGTGCACGTGTACTCGGTGGATATTCAAAGTAGATTTTCTCGAAAACGAAGCTTCGAATCAAAAAATTTTATTCTTTCTTTTCGATTTGCTTTTTCATGTAGAATCACCCCCTCCTCGATTGTACTATCGATACTCGTGTATCGACGATCTATTCGTATAAGCCATAGCCAAGTGCATGCGCACTCGGTGAATATTCAAAGTAGATTTTCTCCAAAACAAAGCTTCGAATCAAAAAATTTTATTCTTCTTTTTCGATTCGTTTCTGCGTGTAATATCCCCCCTCCCGACCCCTCGCCGGTTACAGCGCCGTTGCTGGGACACTCTGTATACAACATTGGAGCAAATAAATAGACGTATCGAAATATAAACCTATTATTTTGATATAAAGAAAAAGGTTAACACCGGAAGGGTTAAATTTTGCAGGATAAAATTCAATAAAGTCCATTACAAAATTTGCACAACTTACATATTCGGTTTGATCTTCGGGCATCTGCAGGCTAAATCGGCTGAGTGTACGTAAAGGAACACGTCGCTACGACGAATCCTCGAGTTTGGAGCTTTCTTGTAAATGAAGTCGACGTTTAAGGTGAAACGTATCCACACTGAACCAGATACACTCGTTCCAGCCGGGGAACCATCGCTCTTTTTGTGCCTGTCTGTTATTCTACCCAGGATAGCTAAACAAAAAAGGTAAAGTATCTTTTAGTTTCCTTTCTATTTTATCAGTTACAGTATCAATTTTTCTTTAACTGGTTGTTCCACCGTGACGTTTAAATTTACGAGTTTAACTCTTCATCGATTCTTCATGTCAAAGAGAAATTGCACTCATCGTACGTCGATCTAATTGCAAGACTATATTCGATACATTTTTATTCTGAAAGTTTGTATAAATTCATTGCAAACGATGCAGATATATAGTGGCCAATTAAAATTAAATTATGCTTTCCAATGCACGATTTTTCGTAATTAAATCAGGATGCAAGTGATTAATGATAGAAGATTTAACACTGAAATTGCAGACTTGTAATAAGTAGCTAAATATATTATATACAAAGGATAATAATTATTGTGGCATGACGAAGACAACTATAATTCTATTTCTATTGGAATAAAAGTCATTAATTTTGTCAAAAGTAACTGTATGTATATAAATAAAATGGTAATTAATTATTATTAATTATATATTTATAATATCAATTATGAAAGATTCTGCCAGAAAATACAGAATTCGTGTAATACTAAATATGGACATATATATTTATGGAACAAGTATGTTTGCATTTAACCCTGTAGCCTTAAGACGATTTTCCATTTAACTCACTAGCGCCACCACGGTCTGTATCTGCAATAATTGTATGGTAAATATCGTAGACATGGTCGAATTATTTTGTAATTTTACCGATATACTCTTGGAATGTTTTTCTTGCTATGTGTCAAATTATTTGCATGATATTGTTGACACAAATTTTTTGGTCGTACATGTATGGCTGTACTCATGAAGGACTTAATGTCTAACGAATTCTGTACTCGTCTTTGGTTTCTTTCATAATTTCTTTACACCGTTTCAACACTTGCAGCTTACAAGGTGCAGTACTATTTTTGAAATTCGAGTGTGCGAGTATACCATTCGCGAGTGACAGCATGGCGATTTCTAATTTAAACGCAGATAATGATCTTTTGCTTAACTCGATAAACAAGAAGCGTGAAAGATCCATTTGTGGTTACTGCGTTTACGAACACGGATAAACCAGTACTGCTTATGGTGCAACGAATGAAGTTATACTCTGCCATATGTAGTAGTACTACGTGTTATTTCACTTGTGACGGGAGGTCAAGAAATATTGTCATTATTACTGGTTGTACAGAAAATAAATCGCCGAGGAATGTGATAACTGCGAATTCCGTTAATTTCAGTAGCTAGCTCAAACGGTACAATTATGGCTGTTAATATTCATGGCATAATGAGAGGAAATTATATGATATATCAAACGAATAAATGGTATGAGAATTCGCTATATATGAAAATACGTATTTAATTATGTTTAACAAGTGTCAATTTTTCGACGTGAGATTACGTTCAAATTTCTTTGTTTTGTATGAATTTTGTGAACTTTGAATATTTGCGAGTATTATGCGAGTATTAGTATATATTTAATATTATATATTATTATTAGTGTATTAATATATTAATTAAATATTACTATATTAGTATTACTGTTATATTAGTATTACTACTATATTAATTAAGTATTACTACACTAGTATTATACTAATAGTAATACTAATACTAATTAGTAATAGTAAGAGTAATAGTGATAGTGATAGTGATAGTGATAGTGATAGTGATAGTGATACTAATTATTAATACTAATAGTAATACTAATACTAGTTATTAATACTAATAGAAATACTAATACTAATTATTAATATTAATAGTAAACTAATATAGCATAATATTATATCAGTATATATACTATTATATACAATAGTACCTATACACACTACAATACACTATACTATATGTTGCCATGTATTAATATTATATGTATATGCTAGTATGAGACTAAACTATATAGTCATATAGAGTATAGTATAATATTGTAGATTATCGTGTCCCTATATATCTTATAATTACTGCATGACTTTGTAGTCTTATAGTTGCGGGGGTACAACTGTAGTACTGGAGAGCACAAGAGTACTTACCATAATCTCTTTTACAATACTTAGTCAAGTTTAATCTTTTGGTGCTGGCTCGACATTTTCCACATTGATCTGTAACAGGAAAAACACAAAATTTTATTCGATTAAATTTTCCGTAGAACAATTGAAATATACCTTTAATTAGCTTATTATACTCCTTATCAAATTTAAAAATCTACGTTGACTGTGAAATAATACACCCCTTGCTAATCAGATTTTTATTATGCTACAATTTTTATACAAAATCTATTTTTATAGCGTAAAACTTTATGTACGTATTTTATATAAATTAACATATAAGTTCCTTTCCAAATTTTTCGAAAATGCTTTCTCATAAATTTTATTACACACATTCGATGTACTTTTATCGTCCCATAGTAAAATAATAAATAAGATTATATATGATATAAACGGTTTAAAATATTAAGTGCAAATTTGAAATAACAATTTGTTAATTAATCGAACTGGCATAATTTTGTCTGTAATGACTAATTTTCAACTACAGACGTATACATGTATACGTTTTCAGTGGATCGATCTCTCCCTGCCCAATAAATTAAAACGAAAGGAAGGCTATGAAATCATCCTGATTTTCTGCTTGACTGATATACAAATACACGCGAGCGCTTAAGTGCTTGTTTAAATTATTAGTCGTACTACTTGTGATTGCATCGTTCAAAATTTGTACGTATATATGACATAATAGTGGTAATGTAAGTGTAAAATTATTATATTTCACTGAAAAACTAAATAACTCTTGTATAATTTTAAATATTATTAATTTTAATAATATTTAATTT